ACCCTGAATCTGTACTATTTCCTACAACTGCTTATGAATCTACAACTCTATCCAAATATCTATATTTCAAAGGAAATAATCAAAAAACAACAAAGTACATTTTTACTATATTCTATAGCACTTAGTAGTGCCAAACATAGTAATATTTCTTCAGCAAAACGTATTCAAACAAAGTGAATTACAGGATAGGGCTAGGACTTGGAAATTTCAGGAGGAAAATGCAAGATGGAGATGAAGGCAAGTGAGGCAAATGATGGTGAATTCCGAAGAAGGAAAATGTAACATGAGGTAAATGTCACAAGGGCAGCAAGTGCTGCATTTGTACAGACACCAGAGATGGTCTCCTATCAGCATGGGTCATATATTGTGGCCACATGAATTCAGCAAAACCTAACGGTTTTGCTGCCAAATCAGCCATGAAATCACTTCAGTTTTTCAAAGCTCTTTGGATTGTGGAAGTATAGATGAAGAACTGTAAACACAAGTTCTGCTCTGGCCACCTAGAAGAAGGCACAGGTGGACAGCATTGATGGACCTTACTGATAACTCCTGTTTCTGCATCATTATTTCATATTAGCAGAAAAATGTCAGTAATTTTAATTTTTTAGTACAATACTAACATAATTTTTGTACATCCTTTTGAGATGTTATCCAGGAATACCTAGAATAGTCTATGATAGAGAAAGGTTGTGGACAGAAAGCCAGTACAGCATGGAACCAGGACACTTCCTTAGTTTCTCCTAGTGTTTCTCCATAGCTCTACTTTGATGTTGTTTGGAAATTAATTTTCAAGACATTGAAAGTTCTTAAATGTAAAAATAGGGTGTGTATGTATGTACACATACATACGCATATAATCATTATATGTGCATTTATTTAGAATTCACTAGTTGACATTATCTGCTAATTTATATTATATACATCTCTATTTCTTTTCACTAGGATGGAAAATAGAGATTTAATCCTATCTGAAATATTTAATAAAGGTCAAAATGCAGATGCTTCATGAGCATATGAATTTTCAGCCCTAAATGAATCTGAATCCAGGTTGGGTATGGAGGTACACGCCTGCAATCTCAGCTACTCCAGAGGCTTGGATCACCAGTGCAAGGCCAGTCTGGGCAACTTAGTGAGACTCTGCCTTGATTAAAAGGAGTGGTGAGAGGGGAGCTGGTGGTGTGAAGCATGGTAGCAGAGGCCCTGGGTTCCATCCCCATTTCCAGAAAAAAGAGATGTACATATCTCTTATACATTGATAATAAATCTGAATCCAAATAATATGGAAGAACACTAATTCATTTACCTTTATTTAAGTCTCAGGAATTATTCTGTACTATTCTCTACACCATAATCAGAATTATCTTATTGAAATATAAAGGAAATTACATCCCTCTCTTTTGATCTCCTTAGTTCCTATAGACAAGCATCCAAGTTGCCCAAGGAAAAGATGTCCTCAATGGCCTGATATTATGGTTTGTATATGAGGTGTCCCCCAAAAGCTCATGAGTGAAATAATTCAAGAAGGTTCAGAGGAGAAATGATTGTATTATGAAAGTCTTACCCAATCAGCAAGTTATTCCCCTGACAGAATTAACTGTGTGGTAACTGAAGATGAGTAGGGTGTGGCTAGAGGAGGTGGGTCCCTGGGGCTGGGCCTTTGGAATATATATTTTGTATCTAGCGGGTAGAGTCTCTCTTTCTGTCTGCTTTTTGACCATCATGTGAGCTTCTTGCTTCCACCACACTCTTCCACCATGATGGTCAGCCTCACCCTGAGCCCCAAGGAATGGAACTGGCTGTCTATGGACTGAGACCTCTGAAACTGTGAGCTCTCAAATAAACTTTTACTCCTCTACAATTGTTCTGCTTGGGTCTTTCAGTTACAGCAGTGAAAAAGCAGACTAAAACACCTGGCCACAGTCACATTTCTCTCCATCTTGCCCATTCTGGGGTATGCCCTTGACACATTAATTACTTCCGGTTTTCTAAGTTGGTTATGCTCTCTCACTTTCCTGTTTTTGTACATGTTATTCCCGTGGCAGGGAACACCACCCTCTTCCTGGCCAACTCCTATTATCCTGTAAGGTGCCATTTTCTTCTAGAAGTTCTGAGAACCCCTCACCTCTCTTTCCAACTTGATCTGGACTAGACTTATCCAAGCACTTCAGGCCACCTTATGCTCTCTGCACCTTACTGTGGAGAACTGAGTTTTTCTCCTTCCCCAAAGCTTAGCACTGCCAACAACAGAGGAGCTAATCAATCCATAAACAATATTTACTTGATTAATGGCTAAACAAATGATTGAATAGATATATCACTCAAAAATTCAAATAAAATATCATGTAGCTTTTTAGCTGTAAGTTTAGCAAATTATTTAATCTTTGTATGACTCAAGTTTCTTCATCTCTAGAATGAGAATAACAGTGCTTGCTCTGGTACATGGACTAAATCTGCTGGCACATATGAAACAGTTATAACTAGGCTAAATGCATAGAGAGCACTCTACAGATATGAGAGTAACAAAGTGCAGAACTTTAAAACATACTTTCTATTCAATAAGCCAAGGAGAGCCACAAAAGGATTTTAAGCAACAAAATAATAAATTCAGATTTGCTTCAAGAAGACAGTTCTGTTGGCACATTTAGGGAAGATGGAAATCAAAGGCATAGGCCATAGTTGGGAAGCTGTTGCAGCAATCTGGAGAGGTTAATAAGCCTTGAGCAAGACCCAGTGACCAATTAGATGGGGAGAATTGTCAAGGGGAAGAAGTTAAAGATGAATTTAGAACCTTGAATTTTCAGGAAAATGGACAGGACTAGAGACCATCATGTCAATCCAAATAAGTCAAACTCAGAGGGTTAAAGGTTTTCTCTCATATGCAGACGCTAGAGAGAAAAAGTGTGGATCTCCTAAAAATCAAAGGGAAATCAGTAGAGGAAAGGGACCAAAGCGTAGGAGGCAAGGAGGGAGGGGGAATTGGAGTGATATTGGACAAATTATATATTGCATGTATGATTCAGATGTATAACTACAAATCCCATCAATATGTGTAACTATAATATACCAATAAAAAATGAGAAAATAAATAAATAGAAATTGGAGCCTTAGTAATGGGTAAAGATAAAATGAGAAAACAGAAAATGTTAAAGTTTAATTTAGGATATCATTTTGAGGCCTTCAGAAAATTCACATGAAGATGTCTCATACTGAATCTTTATGAATCAATATAGAATAATATGTAAATTAATAAGTAGAAAATGGTGTCCATAGATAGTTGTAAATGAGGGTCTGGTGGTGATAGGAAGATTGGGACTAGAGTTCAAACAGGGAATAATTCAACCTGTTGGAGTTCACCCTTGAGCCCAAGAAGAGTCAAGTCTACTAAAGGCGAGCAGACAGAACAGGAGAAAACCAACAGGGTATCAGTTCCTGGTGAAAATCTGCCCATGGTTTTTTCTCTCCCAACCTAGTGATGTGAACTTAGAGGGCTTACCAGATAATATCTGGGCAGATTCCACGCATATCTCTTAGAAATCCATGTGCAGTTCTTTAGCAATGTTTAGTGGGTTTGCACTTATGATAATATGAATCATATGGGACCTTAATATCAAACTCCCAGAGCAAGAAAAGTCAAGAGGACATTCTCCAACATTGACATTGTCAAGTCTGGGAAAGGCCACAAAGAACCTCTATGACATTATCTTTAGGGTGGTTCAAATTCAATTGAAATCACAATTGTCAGATTCAAGGACAGAGTTGAAAGGAAGAAGAAAGAAAAGAAGGAGGGAAGAGAATGAAAGAAAGAAGGAGGTAACATAGGAAAAAAGGAAGGAAATAAAAAAAGAAAAATCCAGTTCATAAACGACTCCTAAAGTTAACAGAAAAATTCTCAGGACACAGAAATTGTTCTTTATAAAGAAGATGCTTCTTAGATTCCATTTATGATTTACTAAGAGGTACCCATAGAAAGAGAAGTGGAATAAAAGAAACAGAAATTAGGGTGCAAGATTTTCATATGTAAAACAAAGGAAAAATTAAATTGCTTGAAACAGTGAAAAGAATTGTGTAATTGTGTCTCTTGCTTGAATTAAATTTCAAAAAATATCTTAATTTGCCCTTCATCTGTGTCCCACAAAGCATAAGTACTCAGCTCTCTGTTCAACTGGGTAAATGATAAAGCAGGTGTCTTCTCCTGTTTGTGAACTACCTCAGGCCTTTTTTCTGTTGGATGTTGGACCTTATATGGTCCATTGATACTTTGAGTAATGCTAGATAGAAAGAAGTAAATGTTATTACATATGTAGAATTAACAAGAGACAGAGAAAATGACTGACAGGAGTTAGGAAGCCAGGAGAGGTAGCACTCACCTGTAATCCCAGCTACACAGGTGGCTGAAGCAGGAAGATCACAAGTTTGAGACCAACCTGGGCAACTTAGTGAGACCCTGTCTCAAATTCACTTTTTTTAGAAAGAACCTGGGATATTGCTCAATAGTTGAGTGCTGAGTAGAATTAAGTGGTGTGAGGTCCTGGGTTTGATTAGCAGGATCACACACACACACACAAAGGAAAAAAATCATGTTATACACCTTGATTATTTACAATTTTTCTTTGTACATTGCTCACCAATAAAGATGAATAAATGAAGAAATGGATGATACCTACCTACAACAGATAGCTTCTATTTTCATTTGTTTTCAAAAAATGCTTTCGATAATAACCAAAACTTATTTTAACATTTTTTTTGTCTTCTTCACTGTGAATAGTATGAAAAATAAGTTAAGACAAGAGATTTATTAGATGCTTTACTGTATCTCCAGAGACTATCACAGGGTCATTTTAGAGTTAAACAAAACACCTAAACTACTTATGTGAATCTCAGAGTGAAATGAGATCAGAATATTTTCAGTCAAGTTGTGGTTTATCCCATTGCCAGATGTGAGTGAGAAAGAGTAAATACTGCACCTTTCTGAGGTTTATTTTTATCCAGCAAATGGAGATAAAAGTTCCTACTATCCCACCACCAAGCTGTCAGGTATCAATGAGTTGATGTGAAAAGTGTTCTCAAACTAAGACATAGTAAAGAAGCATTATTACTACAGCTAAAGTTTATATTAATGAAATTGCTTATGAATATCACACATCAAACTATTGAAAAATATTATTTTTTCTTATTTCATGCAGATTTGTAATCATATACAGGCTCTCAGGTAAGCAGAATCTTCAGTTAATCATTGAAACATTGGCTGCCCAATAATTGTATAGTTGCTGATTCTGTTGGATATTTTATGACCTCCATTTGAAGAAAGTATGCTGTATTATTCATTCATTCACACATCAAGTATTTACTGAGCCATCTGCCAAGTGTCAGGCAGTGTGCTAGGCACTGAGGAAACATGAGTGAACAGAATAGTCACATTCCCTCTTCTCATGGAGCTCCCAAGCTTACAGTAACACAGATGTAAGAGTCCTTCCTGGGTGGAAAGAGAGCTCAACTGAATTAGCTTATAATAAAATTTCCAAAAGCCAGAGCTGAATAAGCTAGGAATTACATCTAGCTACCAATAATAGAAACCAGATGACAGTAGCTTGAACATATCAAGTGCTATTCTTTCATACAAAATGAAATACAAAAGTAAGCAGTTCAGGGCTTGAAGGGTAACACAACTAAGTTCGATACTATACCAAGTGCATCCCGTCCTGTCTCAAAGTCATAAGATGGTTCCTGAAGTTCCAGATATCTTGTCTACTTTCCAGCAAGAAGAACTAAAAATAACAAAGGGGAAAATTTAGAAAATTCCCCACTCAATGGCCACTTATTTGTCATCCTGTTAAAAAAGAAGGGGAAATATTGGAGAGTGTGGTGAGCTAGCTATGTCATTAATATAGAGCAAACACATTTGTTTCTTTCCACAAAGTTAGAAGGTATTGAATAACAAATTCACAGGCTACATCACTTTCCTCAGTATCAGTTCACTGAAAATTTGTCAGTCACCTTGTAGTCATGAGCCAGGAAATCACAAGTTCTTTTTTGCTTTAATCTTAATTTCTAATATCTGTAACACCCCCAAATCACACATCGCACTTAACACAGGAAGGCTAGAAAAAGGGCTAAGGCTGCCACAGGGGTTCAGGAGGCTGAAATGAAAGCAAAGGCAGAGAGCAGATACAAATGCCAAGAGTCACTGTGGGTGGTCAGATGAGATTTTATGAACCAACCAAAGAAGTGACAGCAGGAACTTACTCTAGGTCAAAGTGGAAGGTGGTTTCAAAGTGTCTTATTGAAGCAGTCGGCTTGTGATGTCAACTTGGAGTGGGCCTTATGTGGTTGTCACAGGCAGGAGAAACCATGCTTCACAGGAGCCCAAGGACAGCTATTCAGAAGTTTATCACTGTGGTGATTTTCTTGGGCAAAGCTCATGACAAGTGATCAAGTGAAGGGGTCAAAGGGTGGCCATACCCAGTCTTGGACTGCACCTCCTTTTATGGGCCATGAGGGAGGTCATTGAACACATTCAGTGGTCTGGTGTGTTCAATAAATTCTTGGGCCTGTTTTTTTCTATGAGAGTTGGATATAGCCATGCATCCATGTGCTTCTAATTAATTTGATAAGTACGCAGGTGGTCATTTTTATTAGTACAATTTATTTATCAGTTTGTGCCTTACGGTTGTGCAAGGCAGTTGGTGATTGGTCATTTAAACACACAAGGTATGGAGTCATTTCACCTCAGCCCTTAAACCCAAAATGGAATCACTTGTGGCAAATGACTGCTTTACAAACTGGAGTAATTCAGATTTAGGCATTGTCTGAAAACCACTGGTCTACACATCATAGAGTAACTCTGAGCAGAACATAGCCTGCGATTCATAGACAGCTAGATGTCTCCCCCACAGCTCAGAATTAAAAGCCAGATTATTTAATGGGGCTCTAGCCTGTCAGTACAAAATAGATGGGGGCAAAATACATCTGTCAAAAGAGGAAGCAAAAAAAAAAAAAAACAATGGAAAAGGATGATGTTATATGGGAGGCTGAAATTATAACAATGTTAATCCTTCATGTGGCAGAGAAGGGCTGGCAGGGGTGCTGACTCTCTCCTCCCACATCTCTGACCAGCCATGCTAATTATATAGCACACAATAAATATGTGTTGAATGAATTTGGCACACTTTCCACTGAAACTGGTCTCACCCTCAGAATCCTTCAAACACGGGTCTCCAGGAGCCACTACCACAGATGCAAAGAGAAGGGAAACAAATCTGCCACCCTCATGCTGGAGCCAAATTGGCCTAGGCTCAGCAACCTGTATGCACCTTGCAAACACCAATTTTTATGATAATTCTTTCTTATTACTTAGTCAAGTTGTTTTTTTTTTATTTTAAGGAGAAAATAATGCTAACAGGGTTACAAGTAAATAAAGGAAAGAATTTTTTCCCTTTCTGCACAGATTATAAAATGAGATAATGACAGTATACATCTAAGAATAAAATATGGTAAGGAAAACAGGATTGCATGTGAAAAAAAAAATCCCCCCAAAATTAAAACTTGGCTAACTATGAAAACAGCTGCCTCCCCACACACAGTTGCTCCTTGTAGATTCATTCCAGGTAAAGGATAGTCTGTTTAAAATGATTTCTGAAGAGAGAAGAAAAGGAAAGTCATGCAAAGTATCAGAATATAGACAGCATTCACTCCATTCATATTCATTAAGTGCCTACTGGGTACATAGTACTGGTCCAAAATTGCCAGGATAATCAAAATTGACATCATCTTTATCTAACAAGGAAGTAGGGAAGGTAGACATTGACCAAATTTCACATTAATGATTATCTATGAACAAACCAAATTAAGCATCCTGAAAAAAAGGGGGATCCTAGAACAACCACAATGAACAAATACTAAGGCATTCCCAGGAATGTGCATGTGCACCAGGGCCGGTGGAGAGGACCAGAGTCTACCCCAGCAAGCAACACATACCAGGGCCCCCAGGCAGGAAATTACTCAGCAAGTCTAACATGCTGCAAGGAGGCCTGTGTGGCTAGGGAGAGGGTCAGGTGGCCAGTGGCTCAAAGTGAGGCTGAGAAACAGAGAGCACCAGCCTTGATGACCTCAGAAGCATTTAAATTTTCCTCCTTGCTCGCATAGGAACCTATGAAAGGACCTTGAGAACCAGGTGATGCCACAATGTGTGTGCCCTGGGGTTCTGTGTGACTCAGTCCTCTCTGTAGCATCTCATGCTGAACTGGGGTTAATAGACACATCAAACGAACAAACAAAACCAACCAATGAGTGAAGAATTTTGTGTGAGAAATCATTCTGGCAACAGCATGCATGATGATATTTGATACAGTCAAAATTTCTTACTAGAGAGATAAATCTGAACAACACAACAGAAATAGAGAGGTCAGTCTGGATCCAAGATTCATTTAGGGACTTTATGGAGGGAAGGATCTAGGGTGACTATAATTTTCTGGTCTGGAGGGGTGGGTATCAATCCACCTACACCATCTAGTGTTGCTGTTTCCTGTGATCAGGAACATGAGAAGGAGACAATGTCATGAAAGAAATGTGATTAATCCAGCTAGACATATTCATTTGAAAATATTCATGAACTATCCAGAAAGAAATCTATGTAAATCTGTACCTCAGAGGAAATTTCTCTCTCTCTCTCTCTCACACACACACACACACACACACACAAACACACACACATGAGATGAATATAAAGATAAGAGTTAAAATTGTAAGTTAATTAATATTAACAATGATAATAAAAATGCCTGGGTAGATCTTTAACCATCATACAATTAAACCCCTCCTTTTAGAGCAACTAGACCCAGGTCATGTAGTGAGGCTTGTTGGTCGCATGCCCACAGCCATTGCTGGGATCCATTTGGTGAGTCTGATCACTCCTCCCAGGGTCTTTCAAAAAGCATGATCTGTCCATGCCAATGTACTAGAAGCACAAGAGCCACGGCAAGGATTCGCACTTTGTCTCCGTAGCCCTCAGCCCTCCTAGACCACTTCAGCAGGCAGGTTCCGGTTCCTTAATTGGATTTCTGCAACCCCATTTCCTAAGAATGCCCTCTCAACAGGTCCTTTGCATCTCTTCCAGGATGCAACTTTTTTGTTCTTCTCCCTTCTGTCCGGCCACACTTGCTGAATCAGTGTCCCTTTGAGAAGAAGAAGCTTCTCTAACCCCTGAAACCTCCACCAGGTCCCCACCTCACCTTGGCACCCCTTAGCCATTTGTTAACATACTTGCAACTGAACACAGCCAGACAGGAAGCTTCAGCAAGTCTTACCACATCATTTTAATGAAAACATTGGACACACTTGATTCTTTCAGACTACAAAAGTCAAAATATCAGTTACTGTGTTGAATACTTAATACCTTAGAATTTCTGGCAGTTTGTCTATAAAACAGGAATTTTCTTCTCTTCTGGCTTCTGTGTTTGAATTAAATGCCAATGAGGTCATGACATAGGTAAGAGCTTTTACAAACTATTACCACTGCATCAATAACACCACTGCTGAAATAAGTCGGGGCAATTAGACCACAGGCAATAAAATAAAATAAAAACTTGGTGATGCCACTGAAAAATTACTCAGGGGGAAAAAATAACACACACACACACACACACACACACACCATGCAGGCTTAATTAAAGTTCATTATTGTCAGCATTATGTGTATGCAAGGTTTTTACTTTCAAGTTAGCAGAATGACCCAAAGTATCTTTTCTGTGTCCAGGTATTTTCTCTCAGCTGGCCTGTTGATAAGCAAATGGAGTCTTCAGTCGGTTTACCCTTCTACAGCCTTACTTACTAAGTCTAAAATCACTGGCTTCTTTTACCACTCTTGCCCCTGCCATTTTATTCCTTTGCACAATGAGCTTCGCATTGACTCTAGTTTTGATAGAGTCAAACTATCCACCTACTCACCGACCTTTAAAACAATTTAATCACTCTTCAGGCATTCTAAGTCACCCACATTTTGTTCGTTTCTACGTGACTCTCAAACACATCTTTGCCCTCTTTTTTTCCTGCTCTCCCAAACTAATAGATCAAAGTTTTTATTTGATGAAATATATAGGAATGACTTTTCCATATGTGACAAGCTATTGTGAATGACCCTGAAAGTGACATTGATCTATGAAAATGCAAAATCATCATGTGTGTGTTAAATAGCCTTTATTCAGGGACTACAATTACTATTACTAATAATCATAATAATCAACATAGCTCTAAAATTATTATTTTCTCTATAAAGCCTGCTGTAAATTATGATATGCTTTTCCTTTAATTTAACTAAAACACCATCTACTGGAATTTCCCCAAGCCAATAATTTTACAATAATTTTACAAAACAATGCAGTAAAGAAAGTAAGAGCACTACTTCTTCAAACCCTAACTTAGATAAAAAACCAAGCAATGTAAATGTTGATTTTTCTCCTGTTTAGTCATCCTATAAAGTAAGTATTATTGGCTGTGTTTTATAAGACTCAGATATATTAAGAGGTGGCCAAAGGCCACAGAGCTAATAAATGACAGTGGAGGTATGAATCTGATTCTCTCAAAAACTAACACTCAGGCCCTTTCAACTAAGCTCACTACTTCCCAAAGGTATCTGGCATCTTTGAGTGAAAGGGGAGAAAGTATTTGAAAAGAAATGACACTAGATATTGACCTCTTCTTGCAAACAGCATGAAGGACCATGTCAAAGTCTGGCAAACTTAAAATATCACACATTTTACAAATTTAAACATGACTCAAAGCAAAGTGTTCATCCTACGTTAGTAAGTAGAAGGCGTCTAAAAATGTAAGGTATATCTCTGCCAAAATCAGATATGTGAGTTGCTTAGTTTTTTTTTTTTTTTTAAGTCATTATACATCAACCACACAGTCACAGATGATCAATGCAGATCTCAAGCCATTCAAGTTGATGAAGGAAATCAGTGCAATTCAATTAAACCTCAAGATGTTTCAGTTTGGTTGAGTTCACTTTCTTGACTGTGTGTAGAAATTTTTAGCCAAGAAAAATGAACATACTTTATGAAGTCCTAAAGCGAAAAAAAAAAATCTTATTCCAGAAAATGTGTGGAATGGGATGGAGAGATGGAAGGAAAAGTCAGGACATACAAATGTGAAGCAATCCAGTGTTGTGGTGTGGACACAATTTATATAATACCACCTTCTACAATGGAGAACAAAGAATCCCTTGTCTTGTAGAAGGATATCTGACCTAATAGACCCTGAAGAAGAGCTGAATTGCTTCTCTTGGGCATGACATGTTTTTCTCTGACTTATCTTGCACAATCAGGAGTTAGAGCACTGAACTTAATACTAATTTTGTCATTAATCTCAAGATCACTAGAGTCATGCTTTTTTCCTCCTTAAATTCTAACTTTGTATTGAGAAACACAAACATTAGCACACTCATAAAAATGCCTTGCCTGGACACAAAAAGAAACATGTTTATATAATGGCCTCCGTGGAACCTTAAAACAAATAATAACAGGCAACTTGATACAAAGGTAACATTGAGCATCTTTAATAAGAATTAAAATTTCTCTCCTGGAATTACTTACCACTTTCTTAATTGGCTGGATTTATCCTAGTAGGTCAAGTTGTGTGTTTGAATGATTTCCTGTGACTCTTCCGAGGGACACTTGAGTAACAAGATCCTATGTGTGTCATTTTATATTTGGTGAGAGAATTGTTCATGCTCTAATTATATTATAAAGGGAACAGCTTCATTAACCAAAGTGGCAGAAATAACAAAAGCATCTAATGCTTATTCCACCTGGACGTTTCACAAAGCTCCACGACTCTTCCTATTCAAAAATGCCTCTCTGGCGAATTTATTAAAATGAGCTTTCAACAAAGCCACTGACTGGAGAGAAGATAGACTCAGCTGTGCTAAGACCTGATTTCCTCTGAGTACCAAATAGCTTCATAAATATTTCAGTACAGGGCGAGGAGGAAAACATTTGAAAATTCGAAAGTATGGCAGTCTGAAGTTTTAGGAATAGTCAGAAATGATTCAAGTTAATTCAAATTTGTAGAGCACCTATTGTATATTAGGCTGTCATCAATGCTAGTGATTTAAAAACAATTTTTACCTTCGGAGCCTTCATGGAAATAGTGGATGAGGTAGACATGGGAATAAACAGCCCAGAGGTGTGGTGGTTAGCGCTCTGGGAGGGACATAGAAGTCTAAATAAAAGCCACAGCAGCAAAAACAGTCCTCGTTTGAGCCTCCGCTGACTGTCCCTTTGCTTGCTAAGTGTCGTCCGTGTTACTTCATTTAATCCTCACGATCATTGATGGACTCAGGTGTTTTGAAGTGCAGTGAGTCGCTGAGTACCTGCTATACACTAGGCCCTGTACCAGGCACTGGATAAACAGTGGGCAGGGAAGACCAAGATTTCCCTTTCATGGAATTTCCACTGTCTTAGGGAGGAAATAGAAAACCAGAAAAATAGCAAAATTATATAACTTAGAAGGTTATACAGTCCATGGAGAAAATTAAAACAAAATATAAAAATAAATGTACAATTATACAGGGAGTGGTCACTGACATTTGAGCACAGACTTGAAGGAAGCAGGAAACTAGCTCCAGAGGCAGTGAAGCAGCTAGCTGATCACACTGAGACAGTCAGGAGTTGCCACAGTACAGAAGACAGGGAGAAAGCCATACCACAGAAGTGAGGAAGATGGCTGCACTGCAGAAGTGACAGAGCCAGACATGTGGAGGAAGAAAAGGAACTAGCATTAATGAAAATGTGAAGAGTTAGCCCATCCTGCATAAAGGAGGCAGTGTGTCAGGCTGAGGAAGGGAGGGAGCTACCTACATGCAGAAACAAAGGACCAGTTTTTTTTTTTTAAAAAAAAGGAATGCATGAAACAATGCCATTTCTAGAAAATTATATGACATAAGTACAAAGAGTATGAAAATATTCACTGAAATGGTGATTATAATTTATCGTCAAATGGTAAAATTTCAGTACACTGTTTATCTCTGTCTTCAAATTTCCTGCTTTGTGTGAATGGTTTTTAATGGAAGTATGTTTTATAATGAAAAAAACGTGCTTTTCTTTATGAAAAAAAGTTGAATTAGCATACATTTATATAAGTATTTAGTGATTCAACAGAGCCTGCTAGATACCTCCTCCATCCATTTTTCCTAAGTAACAAACACCTTGATTTTAGTGGTCATGGTACTAACTAGCAAGTACTTACACAGACTCTTACTACGAGGCAAGGCGATGAGAGAAGGTTCATCCCAAGGTCTGCAACTGAAAGGATTGTGAATGATTCTAAAGAATTGGCTTTAAACAAAAGTCCGTAGTGGGCTATCTCAGTTCTTCATACCACTGGCTTGGAATCAGACATAATCACTGGCACACAGATAACTTCTTAGAACATAAGGATGAGACTCTTGTCCTAGGGCTGTCAGGGACAATTTCATTAACTACTTTACCAGCCCATGACCCCCATTTTCAGGTGATTTCATAACAAAAATAAGGTCTTATGTACTTATGCCACTTTTATTTTTGTGGTTTTCTGACACAAACAGCTTTATTCAATCCTGGCTAATATCATACAGAAAGCACAAAGCAGGGCCCCACCTGTGTCCTCTTAGTCCCCGTTCAGCACTCTTCCCATTATGCCACAATTGCCTTTGCACACAGGATGCAGGTCCTAGAAGAGCAGACATGTGGGCTGTCTTGGAGGTTGGATCAGAACTGAAACCGTCATATACTGCCAAGTGCTAGAGGGAACATTCAAAAGGTGGTAGATCAACTAGAAGCAATTAGAAATATTAGAAAGCCAAACTGATGTTAAAAACCAAAGCTTCTTTTAGTACCAAGAATACCCAATTAGAAAAACAAATAGCATCAATAATAGCAGCAAAATTTATAAAACATCTACCTAGAAGAAAAGGTGCAGATTTATAAGAAGAAAACCATAATACTTTAATGAATGAATCAGATGGCCTAAGGAGATGGTCTAAACAAATGTGTCTTATCTGGAAAGTAACCGTCATTGAAAAGACTTGAATACCATAAAAAAAAAGAATTAAAGGTTTTTCCCTATGATACCAAAAGAGATTTAAAAATCAGTGTTAGGGAGGAAATAGAAAACCAGATTTAAAAATCTGTCTGTTAATTTTGGCATCAGAATTATGCACCTATAAGTAATAGGTGCATAATTCTGATGCCAAAATTAACAGACAGATTCAACAAAAAGAACTCAGCTCAAAAACAGATCCCAATATATATGGATATTTTGTATGTGATAAAAGCATCATTTCAAATTAGTAGGAAAAGAATGGATTATTTAGCTGATGATATTGGAAAATCGTATCTATATCAAAAAAATTAGATACCTCACCACAAATATTAAAATAAATTTTGGGATGCTTTTTCTAAAGGTAAAAAAACAAAACTCAAAAAACACTAAGAAAATTGTCGGGGGGGACTATAACTGGAAGTAGAATGTTTTCCAAGAAAGACAAGAAACCCAGGAGTCATAAAGGGAAAAGAAATTGAAAATGAGACTACATGATTATCTGTAACAGGAGAAAAATAAAACATTGCCAAATGCTCACCAATAAATAAATAGTTAAATAAGCTATAATATACCTATACTATTAAAAACTATGTCAAATTTTTTTAGAATAAATAGCTTCAATCTGCTGTATAAGAATTCACTGTGTGGCTACGTCATAATTTATTATCCACTCTACTGTTGGTGAGCATCTGGATGGTTTCTTGGTATAGGATATTACAAACAGCACTGTTGTGAACATATGTAGACATGTGTTTTGATGAATATATGTACACATTTCTGTGGGTGTACTCCTAGAGGGGGGATCACTGGATCACAGGGAATGTGTGCTCAGATTTGGTCGATGCTTCCTATGGCAAGTCATGGAAATGGGCTGCTCAGATATGAGGCTCTGGGAAGTACAGTTCATTGCTGTCCCAGATGCTGGCTTTCTGGATTCATCACTGGGACTGCACCGAGGCCAAACTGTCTTCAAATTGCTCCCAGCCAATGACTGAGCACAAAGTGGGTACAAGAGCAAGCCCATTCCTGTGGGACATGGTGTTCATCTAATTGGCAACTTTGGTTCAAGGACTCAAACTTCCTGGCTAAACGTTTCTTGGAACTGTGCTACAGACTGAGACTCTTCTTACCCACTTCTCCTTCTTCCTCCCCTCCTTTAACAGCCACCAGACCAGCACTATGCTATGAAGGCTCTCCTTGCCCACTCATGCTTTTTCCCCACACCCACAATAAATATCCTGTATATCTATTCCTGTATTGCCCTCTTACATCTCAGGGACTCAAACCAGCAGACATTCCCTAACTGTTTGGCAAAACATTCAAAATCACTATCCCATCAGCAATTTATATGAGTTCCAGTAATTCCAGATCTATATCAATACTTGTTATTTCATATCCTTTTTAATTATTCCAGCATTTGTAGTGGAATCACATGTGGTTTGCTTTCTTGTCTCCATAATGACTAATGAATTGTAACACTTTTCATGTACAGAAATGTATTTGGATGTCATCTACTGTGAAAGACCTCTTCAGGCCTTTTTGCCTAATTTTCTATGAGGTTGTCTTTTTCTTTTTAATTTTAAGAGTACTTTTTATACTCTAAATATGATTCATGTATCAAGTATACGCATTAAAAATATATCCTCCCATTCTGTGGGGGTTTTTTTGTTTGTTTGTTTTTTAAATGTTAAATTTTGTTGAATAGAAGTTACAACTTCATGCAAGAATATGGGTGAATCTCACAAACATAATATGAAACCACAAAATTACACCAGATACAAGATACCACATGATTCCATTTTGGATAAAGGTCAAAAGGAAAAGTCAATCTACGGTGTTAGATGGCAGGACAGTAGCTACCTTTGCTGTGAGGGTGGTCAGTTAATAAATGGAAGAGGGGACACAAGAGGAATTTCAGAGATGCTGGTAGTTTTCTATTTCTTTCTGCTCGTTACATAGGTATGTTCACTTTATAAAATGCATCAAAGTGGATATTAGTGATTGATGCAATTTTTATGTATATGTTATACTTCAATAAAAACTTTCAACAAATAGGGATCTATGTCTGCTCTAGGGAGAAAAAAGTGTCCTTATCATGTGGTTGAGTGAAATAGATATATCACAGACCATATATAAATACCATTCTTCAACTTATTTACAAACATTTATACATGTGAAGAGAACAAAATCCAGAATGAAGCAACACCACACTGTTCATGTTAACCTTAGTCTCAGGAGCCTTCTTATTCTCACTTAACGACCATTTTATAAAATTCAATCCCAGCAGAAGTGATCATCAGAGCTCCCACAGATGCAAAAACTGCAGTATGCACTTAAATTCAGGGTCATTAAGCAAAACAGTTTTTGAGAGAATACTTTATACTTGAAGGATTACAAAATTGTATTTAAAAATCCTCCTTTCAAGATGGTCTGCCTCTTGGAATTGGTAATCTAGGGAAATACGTGTTCCTAAAGATCAAGGCATTCTTCGAATGAGAAAAGGCTTCTAGTAGGAGAAGAACAAGTTCTTCCTCATAGCCAGCTTCTCCATGAGTTACATTTCCATGAGTTACATTTCCTTATGCAGCACAACATGAATGTTTTTCTTCTTCTACTTTAACTTCCTGAATCCTACCTGTTGCTCATTGCTCACCAAGTACCCCTCCTTCAAGGAGTAGCGCAGGGCCATACCAGCAGATGAGACTCTCCAAAGCTTTTGACTACACAGTTCTTACCTATTTCCTATAATACTCATAATTGTGAATTTTTCTTGTCTTTTTTTTTCTTTTGTTGCTTTTATTCCTATTTAATTCATGAAAAAAGGTACTTTTGTCCTCGACTAGAAGTGATTATAATTTATATAGCATCTGGCTTTAACTTCTTCTTAATAAGAAAGAAACTCATGATCACACCGTTGGTGGAAAAAAGAATAAAATCCCTTGTTCACTACATGAAAGTCAAGCAGTAGAAAGAGAGAATCACTGTCACTGTCCTCTGTAGCCCATGTGTACACAATAGTGCCTATGTAGGCTATAGAGGAGAAGATAGCTAAATAACCAGCAGTAGACTTGAACTCTTAGCATCAGCATCTACTTAAAGCCCTGCCTTTTCTAAATGCCACTGTTGGGAGAACTGGCTTTAAGACTTAGCCCTTAGTGGATGACTTTCTCATAATGGTGAGAGTTTCAACCAATTGTGCTGACATGCCAAAAGAACAAATGGCCTGGGGACAAAAACAGGATGCCCTATGGACTGTGCCTTTTCATTAGTCTATGAATGGTGAAAGCACCACAGAATGGATCCACAGAAAACAAAACCATTCCATTAAGAGAATGAATCAAGCAGGTGACTTGGCCTTGTGCAGATAAAAATAAAGAAAATAGACTAAATCTTTTTTTTATTTTTTAATTGCTGACATTGGTGTCATGCAAACTTAATTTTAAAACTAATCTCACTCTCACTATCTCTTTGAGCATATAAGGTTTATTGAGTTCTCCTCCAACCACAAAGGAATGCATGAAACAGGCATATCTTGGTCACACACAATCTCCAGTCTGATGAAGACGATCATAGTGCAGATCTTCATTCTCAGAATGATCAAGATCAAGTTCAGATTCAGACTTCAGTGTGCATGTTGAATCATTCCCTACAAACTGTTTTCCCTTTATTTAAAATTACTTAATCTTAACTGTATATTTCTATACTATCATTTTTATTATTCATAGTCTCGTTTTAAGCAACTTTGTATCTTTGTGGAATTTTTGTTGAATAAATACATAAATAGTCATGGATATAGAATTCATAAATTCAGCTTTTAGACAACAAGAAAGTGAATACTTAATTCAAATTTTATTGGTTTCTTTTAAAGCACAACATGATGATAAATGCAACTTTGTTACCAACTTTGACAAACCACCAAAATAATTCTGACCATTTAAGCAAGAGCACATCTATACTTTAGGGCTTGCAAAGAACACTTTGTTAGAGATAAAAGGTAGGAAACCAACTACATCTTCAATACAAATTGTTATTCATATTTCCATATTAGTCTCCTTTAAAATTTTTTAGCAATATCCTATAAAAATATTTTTAGAAAATAAATATATATTTTTTCTTATTACTGATGACTATAAGACCCTTGACTCTCATAGACATAAAAACCAAAAAGTATATATGTATATGTGCACACACATGTGCACATTTAGAGTAAATTATACTGCAAAGTGTACACATAGTTACTAAAAATTCAAAGAACCTCTCTTCTCTATCCACTCCAAAAATATGTAAGCCACCTTTCCTTATGATTGAAACCATTATTAGCTCCATGATTGTGTGCTTTCTGAGGTTCTGTTCTCAAAATCTTCTTAGAGAATCTTAAAACATCCAATGTCTTTGGCTGAAAGAGGCTGTTCCTACTATTTTGAGTGATAAATACATACGAGTGACAAGGATCATTCTGTTGTACTACAAACCTTGCTGCAGGAAAGCCCTTGAAACTCTTCTATGTAATTCATCCAAGAGTGGTGACATGAAGGTGTTTTTCCTGAGGATTTATCTGGACAACTCAATTGGCTTAGAGAAACCTAAAATCTTATGCTGTTTTAACTGAGTATATTTCTGACCTTATTGTTGGAAGTCAGCCTTACTTGACATTTGATATTAATTGCAGACACTGAAGAAACAGCTCAGTGAGCCGGA